GAATGCCTTGACAAACTTGATGAAGTCAGAATAGGTCATTAAAAAATAAACTGCAATTGAATTAGGTACAAGGGAAACACTGAGATACTGGGATTGATGAGTTGTAAAAATCTGGGTGGATTCTTCATTCTTCCAATGACTATAACTTCTTCCTGTGCTTTAAGGAAACAAAACTTAGAAACCATAGATGATTCATTTGGAAGTATACAGAAGTAAGAGAATACACAATTCAATCATTTGAAATACCTTCCAAGGAAAAACTTTGATTATATATCAAAAGGTAGATGAATATTTTAAATTAAACTGTGTGAGGTATGTGTGTGGTAGATTGTTTACAAAAATGACCACAATACTCCTCCCAAATTGCAGGCTTATATGTAATGTGATTTTGCTGTTCCTCTTCATCAAGAGGTAAATCTGTTTCTCCACTGCAATACCTTGAATCTGGACTTAACTGTAATATTTTCTTTGGCAAGTGGAACATTAGCAAACATCACAATGGGAGATCCTCGAAAAGGCATGTGCACTGGGGCTTGACCTCTCTTGCTGTGGGGAACCCAATGCCACCAGGGGAACATGCTCATGCTGGCCTCCCAGGGGATGAAAGACCATGAAGAGAAACCACAATCATCCCAGGTAAGACCCTAGACATAAGAATGAGGCCATCCTAGACCACTTAGTCCAGCCAAGCTGGCTCAGATTAGAGAAACTACTCAGCCATCATACACAAAGTGACAAAGAAATATTTGTTAGTTTTAAGACTCTAAATATTAGGTAGTTTTTTTTTCAACTACTGAAATGCTAATAGACTGCATATCATTTATTTCATGATTCTTCTTTTAACTTTTCCAATTAAGAGACCACTAAGCAGACCTGATGGTGCTGGGTAAAAATGCTTCTATTGTACTATTTTTATCCCCAATTTACAAATTAACAAACTGAGGCCCAGACAAGTTAACTAACATCTCCAAGTTCACACGATAAGTGGTAGAGCCAAGACTTAAATTTGCGTATTCTACCCCAGACCGTGGGCTTCCTAGAAAAGCCCTTAAGATAGTGGCCTCACCTCCCTGAACAAAGTGACGCTAGGTCCTTTAAAAAAGCCCAGGCCAGGTATTGAAGGAAATCTTTTACCTACTCCTTTCATACTCTTTGAATTTTGAATCACCTGAATTTATTATCAATTCAAATGTTTTCAATTCAAGTATTAAAATGAAAAGTTTTACTTGATCAAGTTTAATATACCCAAAGGGAAGATTATGAGACATTACTGATTTAGGGGGATAGGATTATGGAGGGGTGTCTTGCATTATAATTTATACGTTCTGGTAATAACTGAATTTTATATAATGAACAAGTTTACTTTGCAAACAATTTTAAAAACCAAAAAAACTTAGCGATGTATACAGTATACAAATGAATGGGGACAGTATGGGGGACAGACAAATGGAGAGGCTTCACCTATACCAAGAGACCTACCATCCAAGGTTTCCTTGAGAGTCAACTGCAGAAAGCTGCCCAAGCCACCAAGAAAGAAGGGGTAAGCAATTTTACACTGCCACCAGAGGGCCTCAAGGTAGTACTGGCCCTAAGATATTGTGCCCTTGGCCCTCATCCCCCTTCTTCCTGCTCCTGACCCTGATCAAGTCAGAAACAAGGGCTAGAGAGGCTGGAGGTACAGAGAAGGCAACCTGAAAAGTTTAGGTTCTCATTTAGGTTTGTCTGCCTAAAGCTTTAATTTTTAAGGCAGTTTAGAGTTTGGGTTATTAATTTGGACTAGACACTTAGATGCTGAATTGAGGTGACTAAACTATACTTTAAAAATTATCTAAGAGTGACTAGAAAAGTTATGGGATCTGAGTGAGATTTCATTCAGGGGCAGGGAAAA